AGCATGTACAAGCATCAGTGCATCAACCTGCTGAAGACAGCAAGATATACAGCTACTGGTGAAGAGCAAAAAGCAAGATCAAGCTTTGCAAAGAAAATTAAAACTGTACTCTGTTGGCTGCCTCAAATTATTCAGAAAAAAAATCAATTGTAAGAGTAATAAAAATAAACGGTAGGATTGCTATCTCTGGAAAGGCCTCAGGACATACAGGGATAGATAAAAATCACTGAAGCACAGTTTAGGTCTTAGAAATGCCAAAACTGTGTTTGAAAAGGGATTAGTTGCAAACACCCTGCCTGCCTTCTGGTGTGGCAGCGCACCCAGAGGCAACCACCAGGAACTCTTCCAAAGGCAACCAGAGGAGGCACTGAGGGAGGATTTGGTCGATTTGGGTCAGTTCCACAGGTCTGCCATGCTTCTTCCATAACCTTGGGCAAGCAGCTCAATTGCTCTGTGCCTCAGTTTCCCCCAGCAAAACAGCATCGGCAATACAAACAACCAGGATTCTGAAGCCATTTCCTCCACATTTCACACCGATCAAGACTACAATTTCTGAAGGAGCTAGTGGAGGACTTCTAAACAGCCTCACAGTCTTGCCCTTTACGTGAAAGCTCTCCCTTTACAGCGTTCTTGCCGAACACCCCGTGCAGCACACCCCGAGGCATGGCTCTAGGACAGATAATAATCCATTTCACAGCTGCAATAAAACAACGGGAGCCATAATTTCTTTGAACTCGGGGTCAAACTTGTTGTTAGCCAAGTCTGTAAGAACTCATATAGTAAATTACATACGTCTCTTTACCAGCAGGATCATAAAATAAAACTTTACAACCCTTCCGAAGGTCACAGCTCAGCAACAAACTGTAAGACAAAACAATAAATTCACCCCTGAGCCACCATTTTTTTTTGTGGCTTCGGCAGCTTTGGTTAGATCTGAGGAAATTAGAACTTTTGACAATCTTTATACAAAGTCTTTCTTATTTCTCCTTTGGCCCCATGTCCCGGTGCTCCCAAAGCCTAAGGCAGAGGCTAAAACAGCAGCAATAATGGTTGTTACTGGTCTCAGCAGCAGCAAAGCCACATTTATCTCCATACACACATTTAATGGAAACAATGCCCGAAGTGTTTCTTGGCAAATTAGTCCCCTTCTCCCCCTGAAGAAAAACACATCTATAAGCTATTTCCAAAACAATCAATATTAGACCAGCAAGCAAAACTGGACGTTACATTTCCCATCAAAGCCCTGGCGCTCCCTCACACGAGCAAGGTTTTATAAATCACAGCTACTACCAAACAGACTGGAGAGAGGAGTGCTGAGCTGGGCACCTCGCTGCTTCTCCCTCGGGTCTCGGGGCCTCAACATGGGTAATTCAGCTCAAACCCCTGCCCTGGTCTGCTGGCTTTTAAACATTTGGCCCAAAGGTGCATCTTCTTGTCTCTGCTAGTATAGAAGTCTAAGATCTAGACACTGCCACAGTACCACAACACAGAAGGGAGAGAAGAGCAATTTCTACGACTAGCTTCAGAGCGTTTGCTCTCTTGTGGATATAAAACCGAGAAGACTGAGACATGCTGTTAGTTCTGCTGGTATTAGTTTTTTAATTAAAAATAGAGTACTTTGGGATACTTTGATCCTGCACATAAAAAAACCTTAAGTGAAGGGATTATCTGATATTCTTGAAGTGAAAACAAAGGTTTTCCTCTAAACACTCTTCTGAGAGGCTGGCATTTGGTTATGCAAAGTTCATGGCATTGCTTTTATTCTCAGTGGTGTTGCTCTCCCCTCACCGCGTCCCAACGTTGCACAACCACAGACACGGTTATCGATGACACCGATTGCCTCCTCTGAAGCTCAGAGCGAGGAGAAAGCCAAGATGAGGCAGCACTGGCTGCCGAGGAACTGAAACTTGGAGAAATACTCAGGGAAAGGATGCCAGCAGAGACCACGCTGCTCACCTGGGCTTGAGAGCTGCCTGCTTACTGCCCTGAAAACACCCCAGGCCGAGCTCCTGCACGGCATGCTCGGCCAAGAAGTGGTTTCTCTGTGCAGAGAGTCACATGTCAACTGCCAGGTTTCATCTGGCTTCTGCACTTGAGTGCAGACTCCAAATGAAGATGTGGAATGGCTTAAAACCTAAGAAATTCTCATCGCATCTCCCTGCCTGCAGGCCCAAGAGGAGCGACCGCCCCTGTCCTCCAGGTTCCCTTCCGTTTCATGCTGGGAGAGGAGATTTGAAGGAAACACATGACATTCCACATGGAAATCCCAGGGAAAACATGTCGTGTTCCTTGGCAATACGAGCCCACGTTCTAAATACATAGCAGGAGGTGAACAATGCCAGCCTGGAGGGAAAGCGCAACTCCCCCCTCACTGAGTACCTGTAAATCAGGCTTCTCACAGGAGTGCCCATCTCAGCGTTCACCCTAAAAGGTGACACCACACACACACCACCTCAGCCTCGCCTCTCCTTTCCTTTTGCTACGAAAACACGTGCTGAAGGCCGTTTCCAAGACTGGACAACTCATTCTTCTGCCTTCCGAGCCTGAACATCCTTGTGGTTAGTTCTATTGAGGACAACCTTGTTCTCTTCTTTATCCTGCCAGATTATTTGGGGTAGCTTTTGGCTGAAAGTTTAGACACAAGGGCAATTCTCCCTTAGCTCAAACCTGCCCATCAGGTCTCCAACTTACCTTTGACTGAAATGGAAATAGTTGTAGAAGACTGAGGAGACCACATTTCTTGGACATCAAGTTGGAAAACCATGAAGAACCACTCATGGTATATCCTTGCTGCAAACGGGCTCTAGTTGCAGATGTCCCTGCTCACTGCAGGGAAGGGTTTGGACTAGATGACCCTGAAAGGTCCCTTCCAACCCAAACCATTCTATGATTCTATCTACAAGTCAAAGGCTCAACCTTTTCCTTCCTTTTCCTGCAACAACCTCTTCTCAAGATAAAGAATGGAGGGCGGCTCATACCAGTTCTTGGTTCTTGCCAGCTGTCACCTCCTATAAGGCCCTGACAGCCTCTCTGCAAACCTGTTTGGAACAGTCCTGCTACCCTTCCCTGTAACTTCTGACTCATGCCACATCACCCTACGGGCTTTTTGGCATCTTCTATTGTCTTCTTCTCTACATCTTGTTTTTCACCTGTTGCTGCTCAGCCCCACCCTGCCCATAAGTTCTGGCATCTCACAGTGCCATCAACCACCTCCCACAAGCACCCTGCCATGCCAACAAACCCCACAGCTGGCCCCAAGCTGCTGCAGGGGCTGGGAGCAGAGAGGACATGAAATGGTTCTGCCATCCACCCACACTGTTTTCAGCAGATGGGCTTCCAGTTCAAGCGCCCTCATTTCCAGCAACCGTGACAGGACCGGCAACTAAGGATCTCAACAAGGACACCTGCTCATCTCACGGTAGTCAGGAACATGGTATGGATGGGGCTGTTTGGCAGCTGTACTCTTTCCACATCTTTCTGCTGAGAGAATTGAGAGAAGTATTCCAAAACATAAAATTTAAGACAACACATTAAAAGGAGAGATGGTCCAAATGCTGGAAAATCCTCAGGTGGCTGACACAGGAACCTCTCAGTGGTTTCAAAGGGGTGGCAGGTGCTTGAACCGTTTCGTGGAACCAGACTTACCAACTCAAGGCTGTACTGGGAGATGCAAACCAGCAAACACACAGCACCTGCCTCATCAACAAGACGAAGGAGATATGAAAAAAATCTTGATATGCAAGGGCTGTCTCAGTGCATGCAACAATCCCCCCTGAAGCCATGACCTTGTGGTGATGTTGTTTGCATGACCACAACACGTAAAAGCCCCAGCCGTGGGCCAAACTGAAACACGGCGGGTGCCACATGACAAATATGTATTTTTAGATACTGCAGGTGCAGTATTATACAGCCCTGCCAGCCAGAACTGTGACTGCAATACTACCAGCACACTGCTCCTTGATTAGTAGTTTTCCATCTCTTTCATTTACTGGGAAGTTTTCATGGCTGTTCTGCAGCCACTTCACGTTGTATGTGGCAGTTTCCACGGGGTTCATTAGCAATAAGGCTGTTACCTTGCTTTTTCTCTTTACACTGCAGCCATCTGGGGCTCTAGAGTAGTAAGCACTACGCAAACGACCATTTGCTAGATGGTGATAAACTGGAATGGAAGAAGGATGCTGGAAACCCTCAGTTCCAGACCCAGATAAACCACTGGTTTCCAATTGCCTTGAGCAAGTCACTTGATCTTCCCATAATCCCATCTTCAAAACAGAAATGAATATTTCTTTACCTGGCAGGGAAGCTGAGAGCATGAACCCATTAAAGACTGCAAGGAATTGAGATCCTATCGTGATAAGCAATTACTTAACACATACATAATGCTTGGGAGCATATGTCAGTTGTTTCAAAATACAGCCCAAACTGCTCGGTCCGATGAGCGCCTGAGAGATTTTCTCAATAACAACCACAAAAAAGCAGAGCAACAACAACAACAACAAACCCAATAAACTGCGAGCTGGCTCTTGAGAGATGAATGAACTCTCATCTAACTGAATGTTTCTTTCTGCTCTGAACATGTGCTGTCTTGGAGACACAAAACAGCTATCTCCTGCAGAAGTTGTGCAACCAAAGAGGCTGAAGGAAACACCGTGATGCTGAGCGCTATGGTTTTATAACAGGAGAAATCATGCAGAGTTACAAAACAACCCAGTGTACAGCTTTATTGATTCACAAAATCAAACATCAGGCACCTAATTCACTCCAGCAGTTCCAGGATGACTGTTTTTCCTCCCCAGGTTTGGCTGATTTTTTTTCCAAAGTAAACAATATTTGCTTTTAAGTCGGGGTGGGGAGAACTCGGGCTTTACAGTCGCCGTTTCAGAAGAGCAAACACATCACAGCCATGACAATACTTTGCAATTTTAACGTTCAATCTTCAAAGCACTGTTCAGGCATTTAATTAAAGCCTATTAAAGCCTCACAGCAGCCCTGGCCATTTGAGGTCACACCTCCTTATTAATATTTCACATAAACCCCCCACTACCTCCCAACAACACCCATTCAGTATTTTCACGACTTGCATTAGTCTCATGAGAATCTTAACCCTTTAGTTAAGTGGGATTTATTAATACTGCTGAAGGGCACTGAAGACATGAAGTGCTATCAAATGCACTGCCAGTGTGCTTCCATAATCTCACCAGAACACACATCAATTTCAATAAGCCAGTATGAAGTTTACCACGAGTTTCACTGATAGAAAAATTATCTTAATTTCCCACTAAAAGACACTTCAGTCATGTCCTGGTATGTTATATACATATAGTCCCACCAGCGGTTTTCTCCACGTGAGTCAACTGCTGAGCTACAGGAGGCAGGAGTGAGAAAACCTGGGGAAAGGAATAACATCTTTGATGTTGTCAACTCCCAAGATGTACTGCAGGTAGCGTTCAAAGCCCATTCCGAAGCCTCCGTGAGGAACCGAGCCGAATTTTCGGAGGTCTAGATACCTGTAATTTAAACAGACATTGAAACATTGGCAGCACGGTCATGCGGATGCAATTAGAGTGAGCTTTTTAGCTAGGGTTTTGCTTTCCATCTGAATTACTTCCCTTTGACCCTAACCACTGTGTGTTTCTGCCAAGGCAGCAGCGTTGGTCAGGGGTGGGAAGAGGTGAGGTTCCCTGGCAGGCAGAATTGTGTCAGCAGAAGCCCCAAGTGTGAACACGTTTAAACCAGCACGGCTCTGCTCTGCCAATGGGCTGGAGCCTGGCTTGTTTAGGAGGAAGAACTCATCTGGGTACAAAGAACAGCCTGAAAGTCACAACGCAGCTCCTGTCAAGAGCTGCTCTGGCTTCTTTGTAAGTTTTAGCATTCCTAGCAGAGGCACAAACCCAGGTTCCTAAAGAACCATAAAACATTCCCACTGCTGGAGATGGAGTTGTCTGCTTGGGTTTGTTGAGCTCTTGCCATGCTGGTGCTGAAATGTGCCCTACAATAAATTCCTTCATTTGCTGTCTTCTTTTCAGTGGCCTAAGTCATTTCCTTTCCAGTAATTTCTTCAGGAGCCCAAACAGGTCTTTGCTGTCTGCTGCATATTCCTTCAGGTTTTAATTTTTTTTCTTTTAAGGTAATTAAGATGGCTTTTTGTCATTTTTTCCCCTATCACTCTTACAGCCTGATTAATTTATTTTTACAGTAAGTCAGCAAAAACTCTTGGACATATGAGACCTGGAAGAAGACGTGGCATTGGGAGAACATTTAATGGAGAACATTTTCTGTTGTGCACAGAAAACTCGGAAAACGTTTTGGAAGCACGTGCTCCAAATACATGGGTGTCAACAGCACTATGATGGTTTCTTTAGAGTTCCCAATTTTCCAGCTGGACTGTAGCTGATGTGATACAAGGGAACTGTATTTGCAGCTATAAATTGTCACCAACAGTTTTATTTTAATAGGAGTGAAAAACATCTCAGTGGTTCTATTGATTTATGGGGCCACTTCAGAGCTTGCTGAGGCCACAAAGTTATTCTTCTTTATATGAATGCACTAGTAAGGGATTAAGTGACTCCAGATGTATTACATGCTTCTAATCTTTGTGTATGAATATTTTATGACAACAGTTAAAAAAAAAAAATCAAGTACACTTAAATATAAATATATATATAAATGTTTTACTACTTAGGCAGCGGATTGGAGGGGGAAAAAGCACTGTGGAAAAAAAAAAAATTGGATTAATTGTAATAAATGGCTTCCCAAATTCTAATTACTGTTAAACTGCAAGGAAAATGTATATTTGTGTGTGTACATATATGTATATTTGTACACATTAATATATAAAATGGATATTATATATAAGTGTACTTGCTTAAAGAAAAAAAAAATATATCAAAGTGTACTTGCCTGGACTTCAGAATTTTGTTGGCTTAAAGACTACATTTTAACAGCGTGAAGCCAAAGTAATGCCACCAATCACCTCTACCTGCAAACCAGAAACACTCTCCAACAAATTATCCAGCCTGGCAGGCTTGGTTTGGCAGGATGCCTTTTATACCATGAAATACTATTTTTCCTTACAGTTCATTAACAGTAGTTAAGATTTGGGAAGCCATTTATTACACCCAATCTAATCTGCAGGGATTTTTCCCCTCCTCTTCACTGCCCAAGTAGTAAAACCAGAAACAGAACTTGACAGAATCACAGAACTTCCCAACTCTTCCCACCAGGACTGACAGACGTGCAGCTACACCTACCCTGCAGGGCCATGGGTGGGACATCCTTGGGGCCCACATGATTTCTTGGCTTGCTAAGGCTCAGCTGTACCCACCTCACATAGGGTGACAAAGATTATGTCTGGGACATCCTGCACCTTGGCTGGGGCAATCCCAAGCACAAACACAGTCTGGGTAGAATATGGATTGAGGGCAGTCCTGAGGGGAAAGACCTGGGGGTGACGGTTGATGAAACGGTCAGTGTGAGCCAACAATGTGCAAGTGCAGCCCAGAACGCCAGCCATGCCCTGGGCTGCATCAAAAGCGTGGCTAGCAGGTTGAGGGAGGTGATTCTCCTCTACTCTGCTCTTGTGACACCAAACCTGGAGCACTGCATCCAGCTCTGGAACCATCAAGGACAGGGACCTGCTGGAGCAGGTCCAGCAGAGGGCCACAAAGATGATGTGAGGGCTGGAAGCCCTCTGCTGGGAGGCCAGGCTGGGAGAGCTGGGCTTGTTCAGCCTGGAGAAGAGAAGCTCCAGGGAGACCTTAGTGCAGGCTTCAGGATCTGAAGAGGACCTACAAGAAAGCTGGGGAGGGGGTGTTGTGCAACCTGGTCTAGTCCCTGCTCATGGCAGGGGGGTTGGAACTAGATGATCTTTAAGGTCCCTTCCAACCAAACCATTCTGTGATTCTCTGATAGGCTGTGCAGCAGCAGCAGGGTGGTCTTCCTCTCTACCCACTTCATCCAGACTGCATTAGCATGAGTTTCCTCTAATACACTGGGAACTGCTTCCAGGAAGCTCCACTTAACAGCTTTTCAGGGGTTTCCAAGGAAAGATGATGGACAGCTCTGATGCTGAGGGTGGTGACTTGTGACATAGGAAAGACTTTGTAAATGTGAGGGATATGGGTGCTGGCTGTGGCAGCTCAGTAGCTCTGAGCAGAAGTGGTGAACCAGCTGGTGACAACTCTAGCTGCAACCAGTAATCTAAGTAACAGCACAAGCACTTCTGATGATGCCTGTGAGCCTATCTCAGCCTGTGCAAAGACTGTTGAGACCAAGTCAAGAATCTTTTCTCTCTTTTTGCTGGCAACAGTTTACAAAGTCATCCTAAGAAGATGAAATAACTCAGCTTCTTCCAGATGAACAATAATAATAAATTCTACCCTTGCTTATTCAGGGCTTTCATCTGTAGATCTCAAAGCACTTTGAGAAGCCATTTTGGCAAAAGGAGCAAAACAAAACCCATTAGAGTTAATGGAAAAAGTCCATTGAAGTAAACGTGCAGAGGATCAAGACTGTGAATCCTTTCTGGTGACTGTGCTTAGAAGAAGCAAAGGGATTGAGACATTTTTCCATTCTTCCCAGATGAAAGAAAAAGCAACTGCCTGCAGATGAAGAGAAAATTCCCTTTAGGTTGGAAAATGCTCCCTGAGGTTTCCCCTTCATTCAACAGTCTCAAGACATTGGATGTTTCTCACCTCAAAAACAGTTATGAACTAGCCTGGCTATTTCTCGTAGCAGCTCACAGCTGGGAGGAGAGCTGAGCCCTCCATTGGCAACTGGGGGACTGTGCAACTTTATTCCACGGGGTCCTGCCCTGGAGTTCATGTTCTGGGCCTGGAGGACTGTTAATTCTTCAGAGATTTGAATCTTACCAAAGCATGTGCTGCAACAACATCCCCCAGCAATGAATTCCAGGACATTGTTATGTGCCAAGTTAGAAGAGCATTTCCTTTCATCCTTTTAAAAATGTATACCCTTTCATCATCATCATGAGCTCCTGTGCTGCACGGCAAGGCACTATGAAGATCAGTGCTCTTTAAGTGACCATTCATAAGCAGAATGTATTCTTTTCTGTCTCCTTTCAAAACAAATATAATCTCCATCTTTTATGTCACCCTCTTGTTAGACTGAAGCCTCCGCAGCCCGTTTGGAAAAAGGCTGAAAGAACAAAGGCACTGCAGTCCATGAAACTGAGTATTCTACTAGAAAAAAAAAAAAGGAAAAAAATGAAAGTCATGAAAAACTATTAGTGAAATGACATTTGAAAGATAATTTCGTGGAACGTTTTGGGAAATAAACATGCAAAGCATCACCAGGTTCTGATGCTGGGTACAAAGCTGTCTTTGGTTTTAGGCAGGCTCTGCTCTGCTACAGATTTTTGGGAATCTACACACACACATATAAAAACATTCAGGGAAGTCAATCTAAAGCACTCCCATTGACATGTGTGGGGCGTGGGCACATTTTGGCTGGTTTAGCACTGACTTTCTGCCTGCCTCTGTATGGGCCAGGTCAGTGCTCCAGTTTCTCCCCAAGGCAGGATTGAGAGGGCCAGGCACCAGCCAAGGAGAGCAATGGGCCACCTGTGTTCCCTGGGCTCTGAAGGAGGTCAAAGGATGCCATGAATGCTGGATTGCAAGTGGCTCACCAGTGCTGTTGTTCCTCAAGTCCAACTCCTCCTTTCTACTTTGCCACACAAGGATGCAACAGAACACTCCAGCACTCAAGCTTCAGAGAAAATTAGAAATTAAAGGGCCCAACACAACTCAATCTTCTTCATCTAGAGCAGGAGCAAGGCCAAGACAACAGAGTAGTATCCATTCCAAAACAGAATCTAGTGCCTGCCCTGCCACTTTCACCAGTGCTACACCAGAAGATCAGACAGGTACCTGGATTGTAGAGGGTTTAGTATGGGGCCATCTTCTCCATTGATGTGCACAGTGATCATCAGAGTGAGGAAATGGGTGGCCTACATGTAGAAAGACTGTCTGAAATGCTCCTTAAACTGAAGGTAGTGGGAAGACAAAGGACCTGTTTCGTTACTGCTCCTAAGGTGGGCCCTGGAGGCTGCCAACCGGAGCAGTCCCTGTTTACAAGGCAATACACTTAATACTCCCTAGTCACAGAGAAAGCAAGTGACTTCCCAGAGTGAACTCTGATCACCTGACCTGCCCACCTCACTTCCACAGACCTCTCTTGGTCTTGCCAAGATCATTATCTACAGCACTGAGCTCTTTTCTACCTAAAAGTCAAAGGAAGGAGTGTGAAAATAAGATAAAATCAAGCCAACTTTTGCAACTCATATTCTTTCTGGAAAGAAACCTGTACAACAGGAAAGATCTAGTGGACTGAAGAAGATTCAGAGGACTTTCACCATGTCCCTTAATCTACTTTTTTTGAAAAGCTTTCAAAAAAGGTAGGAATGAGCAGAAGCACAACAGCCTTTCAGACCATCAGTTGCCTCTTTGCCCAATAAACTCCCACAAAAAAGGCACTCCTGAAGCTCTCCTAGAAGCAGTCAGCCTTCCACATTACCCTCATGCTTAGTGGGAGTAGAAACCAGGTAGAAACAGAAATATGGCAAAAAATAAGTGATTTCAAAAGGGGACACATCTCATACAGACCATTCTAAAGTCAGCAAATATTATATTTAAAAAGGAATGACTCAACTGTTCTTCAAGGAGTTTGTGAGCCAGCTTTGGAGACTAAATTCAATTACTAAATTGGAGAAGATTAATTTCAGTCTCTTCTGCCACCTCCACTAAAAAGATGCATGCTGGCAGACCACTTGCCTGCCTTCTGGCAGATTCTGGACTGCAGTCTAGAAGTATCCAGGATTACTCCTATCCTGCACTTTCCACACTTTGCTATGGCAGAGGGTCACAACAGTTTTAATCTCCTCTGGGAAGTTACATCATCTGTGAATGGAGTGAACAAAGGAGGAAAGTCTCCGAAACAAGATCACAGGAGGAATTTCCAGAATGTGATCGCTATGTACCATATGGAAATGCAAACACCTGAGTTAATGTCTTAATCTTCTCTCTTGAGGGAAGCACAAGACAGAGCTGGAAAGCTCTGCCACTGAACTCCAGACTCCCTCAGGCTATATCTCGGCATCTAATCACACAACTGATCCACCTTAGTGGGGATAATCCTTCCCTCAGACAAAGTGATACAGTGTATTCTGGACTATAAACACAAACAGTGAAGGAAGACATTCCATTCACCCCTGTTTCCAAATGGATGATGTAGAGGTTTGCTCTGCAAGGGCTGTTCCAAAGTGATTTCATATTGTGGGAAGAGGAGTGAAGAATCCTGGGCTCACTCTGCTTTTTTTCAAGGCAGCCTCCACAGTGATCAATCTGAACACTGCAGAGCACTTGAATATACTCCTCTGAATTTAAAATCCTCCACACCATCACCCTTTCAGGAGCTATGACAAAGTACATACCAACAAACACTTGTCAGGAGGAACACTAAGACCTTTCTGTCATTTTAATAGGCTAAACCATTAATGCAAAGGTTGATCTGTATCCTTAGCAGGACAGTTTTAATTGCTTCATCCACTTTGTTAGGGAAGATTTTTCAACCCAACTGCCCCATCAATTGCACGGGGAGTTATTCATAGAGCTGTGAAAGATCACAAATTGCTCGTGGTTCTATAACTTGTTTATCTCATGCAGTGATGCTCAGAATATGTTCAAATTCGAACACAGCCTAATGATTTAATATCAAAAATCATTATGGGTTGTAAATTCACCCACTTCATGCAATCCTGAAAGGAATGACCTGTACAGTGAGTGGACAAGTTGGGAAGATAAACTAAGTAGCATTAGATTAAACTTTGTTTAAATGGACTGTCTGTTCCATTTAGACTGGCAGCGATGGCAGGGCAACTGGGCCAAGAAATGTCCCCTTGAGAACAGGATCCAAACAATGTTTAAAAGAGTCTCTAAAGAAGAAATAGAGCCTGCTGACCAAGGCAGTGTCTTACCATTGGTAGGAATCTGCGAGTCCTAATCTGTGGAATAAAAAGAAAAGCCTTTGTAAGTAAAGGAACAGAGCAGATCTGCACAAGCAGCACTTGCCTGGAAGGGAATGCTGTAAGATAAGGGAGGGTCTGATGACTAAACTGTCCAAATATGAAAGGCAGGAAATTAAGGGAAGCCACCATTACTGGCTGTCAGTTCTGGTAAGTAGTAGACAATCTTGAACAGATTTCTAACATGCTTTTTAAAATGCAAAGGTTTTTTTGTCAACATACAGCTTGATCCCAGCTTCATGCAAAGACTTGTGCATATTCTTAACTTTAAGCATATGAGTAAACTCTGCTTGTGAATGTTTGGCGAATACAGGCCTGAATATTAAATTTACAATGACGTGCAGCCAACCTCATTCATAAATGAGTCAAAAACTCTTCACGTGACTAAGTGGTTCCCCTTCAGTAATGCACAAAACCACTGAACTCCTATAGCTTTATTTTGTAAAACTACTAAATAAAATACATCTTGCTCTAATTGGCACCACTCCATCTCCTCTCCTGTTCCTGCCCTGGCAGAACCAGTACAAAGCCATTGGGTTTTTTTCCCCATTTCTCTGAACACAAACAAAAAACTCTGTAGGCAAAGAGAGATGACTTCTCTCATCTTTAGTGCATTGAGTTGTCCCTGACTGGGACTTGGAGAGCTACTGTATGAAGTGTGTGTCAGGAGACAAGAATCCCATTCTTTCTCTCTCTTCGTTATGCTGGGTCTGCAGGAGGTAGAATTTAGAAGCCTTTAAGTATTTGGACTCAGCAGATCAGATCCTCACTACTCAGAATTGAGAAAAACATGTGAAAAGGGGTGTTATTTTTCCAGGTCATCCTCAATGAGGAGCTGTACCATAAGGTCATTGAAGACACATCCCACCCGTAGCTTGAAAGATGTCCTGTGACTTTCCCAACAAATAAGAAAGTCTGGCTTCAACTCCACGTGGAGATCTCTCCAGCCCCACACCTTGGGGGCTGCGCACTCTAGACCTTACTGGCAAAAATTTCAAGTGAAAAGCACAGCAGGCAACACTGTCCTTTGCTTCAGCTGCAAAGGGAGAGTTACAGGAGCCCAGGGAATAATATCATCCTATGCCACAAACTGAGAACCAATGTTCTAGCGATTTTAATTGCCCTGTGCCTTTTGGATTCATTATGTTGAAATGGATTTTGTTCTCCTCCACTGACTAGATATATCTCTGTGAGCATGTGGCTGACTTAAGCTACAAATTCATTCCCAATGTGCAAACGATGTTACGCTGGGATTAATCCTCCTCCAAAATTGCTTTGCACAAGTCTATGACTGGCCCAAATGGACTCATCTGAGTTATGAAAGGTTCTTTTGAACAATCAGACAGGACCCAGGGAGTAATTGTCTATGGAGAATTACCCCATCTATAACGTCAATTACTGTTAACTAAACAGCAGCTTCGCTATTCTGACACTGAATTTAGCCTAAATTCACTCCGAGTCACATGACCCAGAACAACGCAGCAGGGCAAGAGCCATATGACTCAGTATAGGTCCCAGGCACTGCCAGTGAAGCTTCCCACCAAACTGTTAGCAAAGAAGTGTGCTCTCCTACATGATGCCACTGCGGCCAGCTGCATCACAGCTAGCAAAGCTTCCGACCCGATCTGCACTTCCTCAGTTACACAATGTGAGGACAAACAGCTGAGCTACGTGGCAGCTTCCACCTTCGCAACCCACTCTTGGCCACGAAAGCTGCAAAGAAAAGGCTCAGAGATGAAGTGCCTCACACAAGGCCCTGTTCTGCCAGGCCCAGCAGAGCTCAGGCATTCTGCTGCCCTCGCCTCCCAGTATAAAATAAACTCTTCTCTGATGAGCTAAAGAAGAGAGGCAGAAGCACAAGAAAATCTCAACCTACTCAGATGAACAGGTATCTCAAAGACAAAACCAGTCTTTTTAAAGTAGCATTAGTCACCCTTCCACCCCTCTGTCTTGCCAACCACTGAGGGCTGCTGAAACACTCTCCTGGTCAGGCTGGTCTCCTGGCAGGTTTTCCATACCTCTGTAAACGTGATTCCAGGAAGGGCAGTCGCTCCTCTCTCAAGCTGCCTCCACACAACTCCCCTATTCCTGGTACGAGGAGATCAACAGCTGCAACCTTCAAAGAAAGAGACCTAACGTCAGTCACGCCACGGAGCCGTACAGTCTCCAGCAGAACAACACTGGAGGGCTGTTTCTCAAAAGCTACTGCAATTCTCTTATTGAGTCCAGAGTGCTTAGGTGATTATTTGCAAATGCTTGGAGAAGTCCCTTGTTGACAGGAGGAGGCTGGGAGAGAACTTTACCATGATAAAAATCAGTAAGAATACCTAAACAAGTGCAGTGATGCCCTAGACTGAGGATATCTACAGTCAGTGAGCTGAATCCCACCAGGTTACTCTGGTGACAACCTGTGCATGTAGGCAAGCCCGTGCAGGCTAGAAAGGATCCAGGAGAAACTCACAAGGAGACAGACACAAACAAGTTTCCTGAAGCCCCTTAGTTTAAGCTGCTCTGATGCTTTCAATTTGTGTTTACCTTGTCTGTTCCAACCCCTTGAGCCAGCTCTTGTGGTAGTGATACCAACGGATCAATGGCACTGACATGCTGATCCAAGTGTTAGGAACCCAACGTTATCACCTATGCTGTCAGGCTTGGGCTGGTTGTCTTCTCTGTTCTGTTTTGTGGAGTTAATTCTTATCACACAGTTGAACTGTTGCTAGAATTAAAGACAGTGAAGCAACAGTGGCACAGGTTTTCTCTGTTCAGCTGGGAAACCACACCTTCAAAGCATGAGACTTGTGGAGGAAGAGTTTGCCTCATGTTCATCTGCTCTTTGAGGATTACACAGATAGATTTAGATGACAAGACAATCATGGGCTGCTTGGAGCCATGCAGTTCTAGGCATTTCACCTGGTAGCACAGAAGTCTACGAGGAAAAGAAATAAACTAGGCTAAATTTGTCTTAAAGAACTTAAGCAAACCTTAATGCTACCCCACTCCTGAATCCTCCTCCTGTTGTTCTGGCTTTGGAGATTTCTTCTACAACAGGAAAACAACTGAACAGGACCACCTGATGATCACGTCTTAAGTTACACTTTTTGACCAGAGGCCCAGCAGAAGACTATCCTCACCTGACTATTTAGCAGCAGGCTAAAACATTTACCTAGCCAAAAAAGAAGAGGAAGCTATGGACTCACTGTGTGTTGAGGCCCATCCTCATTGTCCCGCATGTAGAAGGGTTTGAGGTCATACGGGTAGTTGATGACAAACACGGGAACCTCACCACAGTGCTTCACCAGGTACTTTTCATGCTCTGTTTGGAGGTCACAGCCCCACTGTAAAGACAGCAAAAAGGACCTGGGATCCTGTTCTGGTGCATCTTGTCTGTGGCAAGAGACACAGCAAAATCCCATGTAGGAGAGATGTGCAGCTTTGAATAACATGGAACCAAGCACAGCAACTTCTCACACAGGCCACTGGGGAAATCTGCTAAGCAGGGAAGAGTTTTAAGTTTTAAGGTGGAGCAAAGCAATGAAAATAATGGTTTAACTTCCACAGAGCAGGGCCAGATCATCCCTGCAGCAAGCATAAGAAGCTGGCATCAAACCAGAAAAAAAACCAAACAAACCCAAACCCCTAAACTACACTTGGCATAGCTTAGGGGAAAGACCCACCCAAAGTCTGCTCACTCAACCCAGCAAACCAACCTCATTTCAATATTACCTTGGCTATGCAGAAAGCAGCTTCCCCAGGCTGACTGCGCATGCCCCTCCTGTGCCCTGTTACATGCTACATTAACTCTCACTTAAGAAGACCCAGCATCATATTAAACAGTTCTTTGTTATCAGAAACCCTGGAAATTTGCAAGGCCCTCTATGTCTCCTTCTACTTATGTTGTCATTTCTATGGCTTTTGACTAGAGACCTCCAGTCCATTAAGGGATGCTGAAAGAATCCCAGAGGAGTGGAAGGGGAAGAGAGGAACAGATATTCTGGAGACTCTCCTCATCTGAAAATATCCTGAGTTTGCTGTCTCAAATCAAAGTAATATAGATACAGGATTTGAGGTTCTACACCCACTAGTGCACAGATATGAGACAGTTACCCAGCTGGCTACAAAAGTGGCTTCAGCCAGAGAGTTATTTTCCTCAAAGCATCAGAACAAGATGAAGATTCATCAGTATTCACCTGAGGTGAGCACCACCACAAACACTCCTCCCTACTGGTGTGTGTTTGAAACTCGGCAAAATTCTTCAGAAAGCCATAAGCCAACAGTCAGAAAGACCAGCATGTAATTTTTTTCTCCCAACTTCTATACTTTGGAAGTGATTTACTTTACCTACCTCCAGATTACACGAAATTTTGACCTGGGTTTGGCTTATTAGTCCTTGTCAAAGTTTTGGAGCTGTCTTATTATTGTTCCTTCATTATACAGCAACCCTCCTCAGATTACTGCTACTGAATTCACAACACACTTGGCATTACTCACATGCAGGAAAGAGAGGAACTTTTGCCAAAGCCTTTCTCCTTCAACAGCAAACTCATCGCTTCCTCCCCTGCAAACACTACACGTTCTTCTGCTACAGATCTCACTCCTTATATTGCTCTCATTTCAACCCCAAAGGGCAATAGCTACACCTGGGTTACAACTAAGCAAACACCCCCTAAGGCAGATAATCTGTGTGAAGTAACAACTCAAGTGCTATCAGGAACAGAATGAGGTCTACAGAGTCCAGGCTGGCTGTGTGCGTGAACAAGCACTGGGACACACCACCAAGCAACCACCTACCTCTGGCTTGAAAGTGAAAGCTTGAGAAGCTTGCTTCAAAATTTCCACTGCTTCATTGTAGGAAATTCTATAAGAGGAAAAAAAAAAAAGGTCTTTAAGATAACTATGAAAGGAATAACAAGAAAGTTTTCTGGCCAAGTGTCGTACCGGAAAATTAAGAAGGCATTTCCCCACCACCCTGCCAGCTGGTGCTGTGATGTCAGACTTCCCAGCAATGCTGCTTTGGACAGAAACCAAAAACCATTTTATATGGCAAGAAGTGCATGTTTTCCTGTGCTTCAGCTACACACAGGGCAGGAAGTGCTGAGCTCTTAAGACACTTCTGCACTATTGCAATGTTGCATTTCAGTCAGAAATGAGCTCTGCAGAGAATTGCTTCATAGAAATCTGTAGATTTTTTTAAAGAAAACAATGTGCCCTCATCAGCACAGCTCCATAGCACGTTGTTAGGCAAACGTAACAGCCCAGAGAGCAAAGGGCTTGTAGGTCAAACATTTTCATCCAAAGAAAAATCAGCATCATGGCAGAGCAGAGAAAGAATGCAGTGAAAGATGCTGCAGGTTTGAGAACTGGAAATCAAGACTCAATGGAAGACACTTTTGCTGACAAGTTTTCCAGCTACCAAGCAAACGTTGTGGACCAAGAGAAGAAACAATAACTCAATCTCAATAATTTAATCTCCTCGTATCATTGGCTAAATCCAAACATAAACCTAATTCTCTGAAGAGCACGAGCTCTTTATGCCCAGCTACAAGATTTCACTAATACAGGGAAAGCTTCTGGAGGAAACACCTCAAGAAGGAATATACTGCTCCACATGTCTGGGTTATGTGGGGCCATGGGCCAGATGAGGTCTACCACTGGCACAGGCTCAAGCCATGTAACTGGTGTGTGAGCCAGGACTGCCCCAAACCTGCCAGCAGCTGATGGACAGAGAGAGATGGGCTGACTCACTCTCCTTTTCCTTGGACTGTGGGAGAAGCTGACTGCAACTCTGTCTTCCTGGGAATATCAGGCGCAAAGAGAGGACTGAAGTGGGGAGAAAGTGACTTCACTGAGGTCTCCCATGGTGCTTATGCAGCCACCAGGCACAGGGAAGATCTACCATGATCCTGTTGTCCAAGCACGGCTGAAGCTGCTTAAAAGGAAAACCAGTGTGGGGCTGAGCAGCCCTACAATGCTCTGTGGGATGGCTGGAGACCACCACTATTTGAACAGACAGGCAAGAATAGCGAAGAGAAAGTATCGTTGGGGGCCAAGGAGGGAAACCAAACCCCTTCAGTTCTTGATCACACAGAGAACTGGGAAAAGGAGCTGCACAAGCAACTGGGGATAGAAAACCAATTGGGATTTTTAAATATCAAAACATAGTTTCATAAAAAGAGAGCCACTGGAGTGGAAGTGTGAAGGAGGGCAGAGCACCAAAACCAAACCCAAGCAAGGCAGTGAGCAAACCACTGTGCAGGTACATGCCAGAAGGAAACCTTTATAGGAAAAGGACCTTGCCCAAGGAATCAACAGCCAAAGGCCAGCAGATTCACAGGCCAGTTTCATGCCAAGATGAAAAGGCAACTGGCCAACAGTACCAAGGGAACTGCAATTCATGCTCTTTTGGAGACATTATGCTACAAAAAAGAACATATACAAAATAAGACTTTCCCCAAAAGCCCTCATCATTTTGAAACATAAGTACTTACGTCACAAATCTGCTCTTCAGCACTTGTTCCAACCTGTCCTTGGTCAAAACAAGAAAGAATAAAAATGTAAAGCTATTCCTAAGGGTTCAGGGGCACAGAGGACACTCCGAAAAGCTCCCTCCCTCTAAAATTTTCATCTGTAGGTCTGCATTGTGGTCTAGATATAGGTGAAAATCCACTCCTGGTCATTCAGTGCTCAAAGGGTACCCAGTTATTAGAGCTGATGATTCAGAGGCTGCTAGATGATGTGACAGCAACAGTTCTTCCACACTTGCTACTGACTACAGAAAGTTCTGTGTCCTCTCTGCTGGCCTGAACAATCACTGAAGCTCAGGCCAACTTTCAGCTCTTCACAGTTTGTCAATATAGCACAATACAGTACAAAATAATAATAACAATAATAAAAAAATTAATACTCCTTATAGCCAAGAGCCCCCCAAATGCATAACAAGCTTGCAGCTCTTTCCTGTCACATTCATTACCTTCTGGGCAGGTGCTATGTATTTATGAAAAAGCTCAACATCATGAGGACATTTGGAAAGCACAGTGCTCGTCGCTGTCTTGAAAAGATCCTCCATAACCTAAGAGAAAACAGGCATACATGAAAAATTAACACTGCTGAGATGTCCCAGACCATAAATAAAACACGGTACACGGCAGCCAAAGGGTACAGAAGGAGCTTCTGTCCTTCTACACGGTCAGACTGCACAAGAGGGCACCAGCTTGCTAATGCTCCTGATTAGCAGGCTTGCCCAGTAGCTGAAGGGGACTGGGACCTGTATTTCTGCACTGAGTTTAGGGCTTCAGTGTCTGCTGATTGCCTCAGTATTTTCAGTCAGGTATGTTCAGTAAAAAAAGCAGAGCTAAGCTATTGAGGCTGCAGCCCTGGTCAGCCACAAACTCACACATCACAACCCTTGGTGTGACTGGTCGCAGATTAATCGTTAGTGAGCTCTGTAATGAGCAATTCTGGTTTTCTGCTTTACTGTTTGAAGAGGCAGAACTAATGGAGCAGAGAAAAAAACATACTGTGCAGAGCCAGCCCCTCAAACAGATCCCAGCCAGAGGGACCTGTGCAGTAAGAGCAAAGCAAAGAGAACACGGACAGAGATGAGTAGAGAGCTAAAGTGGAAGATGCATCAATGCAAGAATGTTTCAGAAACTAAAAAAAGATGTGGTTTTGTTTCCCTAAACTAATGTGGATTAACTACACGACATTATCATCCAATTTGGATACACTTACCCAGTAAAATGGGACTCACCCATGAAGAAAGTAAAATTCTGTTTTGTCTCCAAACAAAAAAAGCCCCTGTGTGAGATGCCACTGCATTTTGATCAACTCTTTTTCAGAGACATTTTCTCTTTTGGCTAAGCAAAGCAGACCATCCAAGACACCTGCTGTTGTGCAGATTAAGAGTTCCCATGACTCCTGGCAGTCTTACGCCTGCACAAAGCAGGTAGTTGGTACCTGTGTAGTACTGATGATCCCAACTCTTCTTCCCAGACTCACAGAATGATTTTGTTTGGAAGAGATCATCATCCAAGTGTTAACCCAGCACTGCCAGGTCACCACTAACCCCTCAACACCACACCTACACAGCTTTTAAATCCCTCCAGGGGTGGTGACTCCACCACTGCCCTGGGCAGTCTGTTCCAGGCTTGACAACCCTTTCAGGGAAGAAATGTTTCCTTATGTCCAAACTCCCTGGTGCAACTTGAGGCCATTTCCTCCTGTCCTCTCACTTGTTATCTGGGAGAAGTGACTGACCCCCACCTTGCTACAACCTCCTTTCAAGGAGTTGACCCTCATTTTGTAAGGAACATAGCAGTGCAGCTGGGCTGCACATCACCTTAGTCTGGGATGGGACCAGTTTTTTCCCAACAAAAAGCACCTCTGAAAGTCCTGGCATGCTGCTATTTTGTTTTATGAAGGTGACAATTCATGAAGCAGTTGTTAAGAGGAGACAAGTGAAGTATCCACTGATGATATTTAGCTGAGTAGCAGTTCCCAGGCACCACAAAACCCAGGGGAGACTAACTGTGCAAAGATGAACCTGATGTTCAGTCAGCAGAGCTGAGGAAGAAGCAAGTCTGTCTCCACCTTGCAAGGAACAAGACCTTACAGGGCAAGAGGAACAAAAGACACAAAAAAAGAAGAAGTTGAGCTACTGACATGGTCAAGATGAGATTTCAGGCACATTGTTCAAACTCTCATGTTAGAAGAGCATCCTTCATCACCTGTCCCACACTACCTGCAACACTGCTCTGAGGAACCACCTCTGCATCCCAACAGCCTGGAGAAGCTGGTAAATCAGTTTGCTTTGACTCCTCTGGACCCAAACTCAGGCTCCAGACTCCTGCATCAGTCTGGGCCCTCTTTTTAAAAAGGGAAGATCCAAGTAAAGGAACAGCATTACCATATGCACATGAACAGTTTTACCCCTAGTGGTACTCAAACACGGAGGAAATGACAAGCCAGCGTTCCTGCTGCTGAGTGGCAAATACCCAAACAGTCAGCTTTGAACTTTCTTCAAAGTAGCTAGAAGAAGGCTTATGCAAATGAAATTAGAAAACTTCTTGGCAATTCATCTGGTTTCACCAGGCACAGATGAAGGGATTTTACACTAAGCTTCCTCTTTCTAGAAAATGAAAGTATCATCTGGTTTCAGAAAAGCATGTTGTTTAATTAGCACTTTTATTTTTCCCCTCGCAGTGCGATAAAGTAACAATTAGGTTCCCACAGCATTCAACATAAGCAACTTCCTCTTGTGGAAAAAAGATGTGGGTGGTATGGGAAAAACAATCTGAGAAATATTTCCAGGTTTGAGACTGAGGTTTTATCCTGGCAAAAAAGACAGACACGTGGGTCATGCATTGGCCTCCTCGCTGCTCCTGTTCTTATTTAAGACAAATGTGTACTAGGCACAAACAGTGGAGGGGGAAAAAAAAAGAAAAGGTGGAAAAAACCCCAAGCTCTCAAATTGAGAAGCTATGGCTTTAAGCAGATAATACAATGAAGGACTGGAAAGGAGGCTATACGAAGAATGAGTGCAGAAGCTTGTTGATTTAGGGGAACACATGAGCTGGAGACACAAGCAAAGCTTGTTGAAACTGGTTTCAACATTTCCTGAAAGAAATACATTTGATAGGATATTTATACAGGGAAAAAGCCATTGGAATCACAGCAAGTAGCTCCCCTCAGAGGTGGGACTCCTGATGTCGAAAACCCCATTACTCTGGTTGCTTCACAATGGAAATGTAGAAATTGTGATGGCAGGAAGACAGGCAGGAGGACAGAGGTAAAAGTCTCCCCTTCTCCCTCATCCCTCCCAGCCTTTTTCTCTTGATTTTCACCTGTCAAAAAAGTTCAGCAGTACCAGTCATAGCCTTGTAGCCTTCCCTGATGTTGCTGTGAACTTAATATTTAACTGTCCAGTTTTGATAAGGAGCAGCTCCCAACTGTATTGTTTAATTTTAACTTGAATCTTTTGATACTGCAAGTTATCCTCTTCCCAAAGAGAATTATGATCAGAGTTGAAACAGAGGAAATCATTGACAAAACAGCAGTAAATGTCAGCAGCAGCAACTGAAGGTGCTGTGTGCTACAGGAAGGGTTCAAATAATCATTTTTATTACATAAGACACCTTCAGAAAAGTCACAAGAACTGCCAATGGGATTTTTGTTTATGCATTTACCTGGAGCCTGTTTATGGATGCAGTGTAGCTCACAGGATATTTACATATGAAACATTCACCAAGTGGACCATTATTTCTTGTCTTCATGCTGGCTCTACACGTGTGCACAAACACGTAGGGGAGATCCTCATCTGATCTTTGTCACAAAGTCACCTCTTTCAGCTATGTAACCAACAGCTCAGGACCCACTCTGGAGAGAAGTTGTTATCAAAAGAAGGACACTCTTGTCTGTCTGACCACTGCGTCGCTGGCGATTGAAGCTGAACAAGAAATGCTGATGGAAGTTAGGAAACAGAAAGACCTTCAGTGATGGCAGCTGGATGTCACTTCAGAGAAGGAACCTGTAGCCCTGCAGATAGACCTATGTCCCTAAAGAGTACTGTGCTAGACACAGGAGCAAACCTCTCCTATGCCATTTGCAGTGTTTTTTCCCTTGAGACTGCAGCCAGATTTGCCCAACTGTCTTAGCCATGGCACTGAGGACAGCAAGTACTCCCAGTGCAAACTACTCTGGAAATCAAACCCCACCCATGTTTCAGACCTCAGGTCCCTGGAACTGACACCCCAAAGCAGTGCTACTCTTGATTTCATTTCATTTCATGCCTGAACTCCCTTCTCTATAACAGAGGCAATAACGCTCCATGTCACTGGGCTGTAATGACAGCAAATTAATTTTGATGGAGTACATAACCACTGGAAGACAATACTTCTGCCTTCAGGATAAAGCTCAAATACGGTGTGTTAAATTGTATTCTCCATCTTAAGGAGATGGAGTCTCTGTTTCTTAAAGTGACTGTGGTGCTGGGATGTGATCTTGTTAAGGAAGACTAATGCTGTGCATAAAGTCCCAAAACTGCCCACAGGAAAACTACTTCCTGGCATTTCTCAAATTTACAGCCTAAATAGTGGGGTTTTTTTTAGCATGGTTTTGTATGTGTGTTTGATGAAATTCAATAATGACTGCATCATATAGCCTCCTGGAGACCCCTTAGTGTCATGAGTGAAGTGGGATCCTTTAAATCTACTGCACTGCCAAGAGAGCAGAACAAATAATAGAAGGTAACAACCTACAAATAAGGCTACAGAGAGAGCACTGAAGAGAGGGTGGGCTGCAGACATCTCAGAGGACAGATGAGACTGGAGATCCTGGGCCTCCAAATCAGGTGCAATGGCTCTAGTGAGTCACAGAATCATAGAATGATTTGAGTTAGAAGGGACCTTAAAGATCATCTAAGTTCTGACACTTCCATACAAACAGGACCCCTTCCACTGCCTTACCTGACTTTCTTCTAACTTCCTCTCTTTCTCATCCAGTTTGGAGGAAAAGTGACTTGGGGCAACTGGACTCACTTGCTTGACTGCACTCATGCAAAGAGGTCACCGAGGCCTCTTCTTAGCTACACTTCCATACGCCGTGTACACTAAGGCACTAATGCTGTCACCCAACCAGCACAGAGCTCTGCCCTCAGCACAGGGGACTTTCCACAAAGAGCATTGTGAAACCAGTATTGTGAGATTTTAAGCTTCTTTGTAGCGCTAGAACACATTTTGGCACAGAACAGAAATTTGGATCACACGATCAAGATGAATGAGACTTCACAAGAACTGTGTGGTACTAATTTAGGAATAACTGAGTGCTACTCTGTGCAATTACAGTAGGGAAAAGAGGTCATTGCTCTAAGATTTCAGGCCCTTTGCTCCCAAATATGTGTAACTTCGGTACTAAATCCTCTTTTTCCTTTTATTTTGTACAGAACGTTATGTTTCTTTTGGAGCTTTGGCTGAGAGAAGGATCTCAAGCCTCATCAGGGAATGGTAAACATGTCCATCTTTGCAGCAAGGCTCTTCTTTAACGTGTACAAGCAAATACTTCAAGATGTCCCTGAAGAAGCTGAGCACTTCCAGCACACTAACTTGCTGAAGTTAGAGGTATTCAGTCCAAATGTTGAATACCAATTTTAAAAATAAATTTACAACAATCCAGCTCTTTATGCAAGGACAAAGTTCAGATGCTAACCCTGGCCAAGAGCCCCAAGGCTTTCAATGGGGCGTTTTGCACTGAACAAAAAACATGCAGATGATGACAAACAGACAAACTGCCCAATGGGCAGATATAGGAGAAAACATTGAATTTAGGTCAGTTATGCAGGGAAAAAAAAAAAAAAAAAAAGAGGCTTTAGAACAGCTGTCAGGTTTAGTTTTTTTTTTGTTTGTTTGTTTGTTTTCGTTTTTTTTTCTAAAGAGAGATTGCCCAATGATTTAAAAATAAACAAAACGGGAACTCCACTTCTGTAAATGAGAGCATCAGAAAAGTAAGCCTGTTGCAATATAGGCTTGCCAGGAGGAATGCAAAACCGATGGCTGTTAGGA